TAATATATATATATAATTAAAAAACTGTGAAATATTTTTAAGTCTTATGAAATTTATTAAAAAATTGGGCAATTTATATTATTTTTTGGGCATAAATTGTTTATTGTCAAATCAAGAACACATTTATTAAAGTATCTCAGACATTCCTCATATTACTTTTATTCAAAAAATTGTCCTGGGTGTACTGTGACCTTTAAAGCAAAATAAAAATAAATAAATACTCATGCTTACAGTATTTTCCGCAATAGTTTTTACGGTTGTGTTATGGAAGGATATGTCCATTTTCACATTAATTGCAGAACAGCGACCAGATAGAACTTCATTCAATGAGGAGTAGAAATTCCTTACATACGACACATATTGCTCTAAACATGAGGGTGATACAGCTCCACCTGCCCGATATTCAATTTGTGCCACAACATCGTAGGAAGCTTCATCAGTATCTACAAGAAAAATATTATTTTATTAACATATTCCAATGTAGAATATTGATTACTTTACAGCATGTATTTTATACTTTTCTTTCGTAAAAACATAAACACACAAGTAAAAAAAAAATTCCTTCATGAAAATTATGAACAAACAGTTTTCATTGAAAGTGTATTGATATAGTTTTTGGAACCAATTAAAAATTTATGAATTATAACTTGTTTGTAACTTAAACTTCAAATCTTAATGACTTCAAAACTGATATTACATTATCTTTAGGAGAAAAAAAGTTGATTATGAAATATTGATGCATTATAAGTAATGAGATAGATATGAATAACTCTATATAAATTTTCCTTTTAAAATGACCCCTTTCAAAAACTAATTTAATATGTTATATACAAGCATTTTTCTCATCATATTTTCTTTACATATAAAGGTTTACAAGAAAAATTGCATTTAGGAAAAAAAAATTTAAAAAAAAGAAAAGTCAAGATAATTTATTCAAAAGTATTTGACAGAATGAAAACTTTTAAAATATGTCTTAAAGCTATAAATTTAAAGATTCCAGTATATCATCTATGTCGGACTTATTAAGGTTAGCAGCATTGTCATACGGGTCTTACTCTACAATGGATTCTACTTTATCTGTATTAGCTAAGCTCAAAAATCATCTTCCCCTAATTAAATATTTAACAACAACATTTGAATCCATATTTTGCCATGTGTTTTGTATTATATAGCACAAGACATCAACAGGAATAACAATCGACTTACCAACAGCGGTCGACTTATAATACCGACATACAAGAAATTTGCTATCTCATAATTAAAATAAAAGGATTGACATATACACCAAGATATATGGTAGTATGATAAACAATTTTATTTAATACTGCCATAAGCACAAATATTCCTCACATCTAAAATGAAGAAATTTATAAAATATAATATTTTTAGAACTTTATGAGAGTAATACTAGGTTAAGTACCATTTCAATTCAATGAATAAAATACATATATTTTAATAGGATATAAAAAATCAAAATAACTATAATACTTGCCTTCAGATACACAATCAGGTACAATGCTACCAGGTACCCAAGCTTGGCCAGCGGAACATTCATATTCTTTTAATGGAGCTCCATCGGTAAACTTAAAACCTTCTTTACATGTAGCTACACATCGATAGCCTGAAGTAGAATCATCAGGTACACAGTTAACATTTCCATTAGCTGGTGGTTCCAGTGACCAGTCCACACATGGTGCTGCTTGGACAGACACTTGGAAATGGCAAGTAGCCTGATTTCCAAATTTATCTGCAGCCATGACAGTTACGTTGCGATAACCACCAAGGGCAATAAATGCAGTTTGTGGAGCAATCTGAATGTTAACATCTCCAGATTTGTCAGACACATTTACCATTCGCCGCACTTCTTCGAAATTTACTCGATAACTTTCTTGTTTTTCAACCAGTTCAATGACATAGGATTGAGGACAAGACAAAGATGGTGGTGTGTCATCTAAATAAAAATTAAGAAATGACTGAGTAAATAAGGTTACATGCAACAAATTACAATTTATGTAAAAGAATTACCATTAAGGTGTAAAAATACTTTTTCAAAGAAAAAAGTTATTTTGAATGATCATAATATAAAACAAATTGCAATTTAAAGTTAATTATTTTTTAAAAAAAAGAAAAAATATTAATATAGTTCTTGAAGGTTCTACATTTCTTAAAATTATTCAACTTGTTCAACGAATTACATTTTTAACAGCATAATATAAAGGGTTATTTTTCAACTAAAGATTTTGTACTAAAAAAACAAAAAATTGTTTAAGAAAATTTCAAATCTGCAATTGGATATAGAACCCATTGGTTTAAAATAAAAAATCAAAATCAGTGTCCTCCGTTTGTATTTGATTTTAGTCAAAAATAAAAATTGTTTCAGACATCTCAAATCTGAAAATTAATATAATATAGCCGCTTGGTTTAAATATCAAAATCAGAGGCCTGAATTGATTAAAGAATTTTTTAAAATTACTTAAGTAAAAGATAACACAGAGTAATTGCATTGGAAATGTGAATAGATAATTGCATCAATCACCTAGTTTATGAAATTAAGCTGTATACATACAATTAAGCTGTATACATGCTTAAACATCAATTTTCAAAATATTAAATTATTTGCATAAAAAACATATTATGTGTATTTACAAGAGTGTCTTATGGACACACAGACAGCTGTATCTCTGGGATTCCTGTTTTTAATTTAGTTGATGAAAAATTGCTTAGCATATTCTTGATCAGTGATGAGTTAACTTGTCTTTTCATGCCGATCATTGTTAAGCTATGCCGAGTTAACTTGTCATTGCATTTACATTATCTATGTCAATTTATGAAACCCAGAGTGATATAGAATATTTCAAAAGCTTTGTGCATCTTGTATAAAAAATATTAATTGATGACAAAGTTTCTGTGTAAAATAGTCTTACAATAAAGTGTTAATAATTATCTTAAGTGTTATTAGTATTTAATAGTAATTGTAACAGTAAGTGTTAATAGTAATTATCTTAAAGCAAAGTTGTATTTTAAAAGAAGACAACACAGTATTCTTTCCTTGTTCTGTAATTGAGATGGAAAAAAAAAAACATTTTAAATATTTATTCATTTATTGCAACAAATTTCTTTTTCTAACTGCTTATGTTACTTTTAAAATTTAATAGCAACAATCAGTAGTAAGGGTTAACTTAAATAAAACAATAATCTATCAAAAGTTATTCTTAAATAAGAAAGTATAAAAGTTTTTTACCAGGCACAGTTATATTCACAGAACATACAGCAATGTTGCCATCAAAATCATATGCAAAATATTGCACTACCATATCATTAAAAACCATCAGAGGTGGTTTAAAACCAGCAGGCTTCACTTCAAAACGTGCAAGTCTACCAGAATTATCATTTGCAGTTGGTTCAGTGAAGTTGACAAGCTGTAAGCCATTTGCTGATTTTGCGACTACTATAGGTTTGTCAGGACAGTTAATAAAATGAGGTGGTTCCTGATCTGAAAAGAGAAAAACAATGCATTATTCACGAATAAAAAAATGTTAAAATAAATCATTAAAGATTTAAAAATAAAGTACAACGACAGAAGAATAATTAGCAATAGACAACAGATATATGTGTTTAGATGCAATTTAAAGTTCGGATAGAGAAAAATAAATGCAGGTTACAACAGTTATTGCTTAACTAAGCAAAAAAACTAAGCAGCCTACAAGTAAATAAACGAGCCACAATGACTCAGTGGTTAAAGCTCTCATTTTGAAGGATTAAGGATTGATTTCCAATGGCAACTTGAAGCTCACACAGCTTCAGATTGATGGGTGCGAATTTGTCTGGAATGTAAAAGGTGGCTTATGTGCAAGGGTGACCACAATGCCACAATCACATTGTTGGTTATGAAATTGTGGAGCCTTAACCAACATGACATCTCTGACTAATAGCAGGTTGTTGAGGGAAAATTCTTTACCTTTATTAAGTAAGTAAACAATCAAAAACCTATGAATTCCATTTTTTCAGTGTAGTTTTTGAATGCGAAGAATAAACTGGGTTTAAAAAAATGAACTTAAAGTAACCTAAAAAAAAATTAATAATTATATACTATTTTTTGTTATTAAACTTTAGTAGTTTTTGCCTTTAGATTGGTACCTTGACTTCAATTTCTATACCATAAAGATATAATATATAAATACTCAAAAAAATGTCCAGAACTGAAGAATCTTAAATAATTCTAAACTTCAAAAACCTCTGGTTCCAAACCACGTAGATTTTAAAATATTTAATTATTTACCATTTCTTATTAGGTACTTTAATATTAATCAAACTGTCTGTTATGTAAAGGGTGAGCTATCTATTTTTGATTTGTATAAATTAATTTACAATATAATCATTAAATTGGTATTAACTATACGATGCTAAATACAGTTTAAAAGACAAATTTATTGTTGCATTATTTTACTAATAATACAATTAAATATGCAATACTAATAATATAATTTAGTATTATTAGCATTGTAATTGGTTAACAATACAGAGGTGCCTTATAATATGTTTCAGAAGTAGAATTTTATATGGTGACAGACAGCTAGAAAACATTAAGCAGAATATGCTATATTTTTTACTGAATGGCAAGATGATTTATTTTTAGGACTATAAATTTATGGATAAAGTAAATGTAACGTAAAACTTTAACTGTTACAATCTATCTACTTTTTTTCTTAAATATATTTACTTTGAATATTGCTGTTTAGAAATGCAATGTATAAATCAACTAGTTCCCTATGTATTTGAAAAAAGGAAGAACTCTAATTTATTATTTTATTAAATCTAACTGGGCTAACATTTGTTGATGTCTGAAGCAATGGTTAACTATGTGCATTTGGTATTTTGAAAGCATAATTTTTAAGAAGAAAAAATTAAAAATACTGATCACAAAAAAATATTAAAATAACTTTCACAAATACAAATAAATGAAAAAACCATTAAAGTACCAGAGGAAAATGAAAGAATTCAGGTGATTCAGGATATCAGTAAAAAAAGCAAATATTAGTATTTCATTTCTTTTAAGTTAAGTCAGAAAAGGTCGTGCTTACAGCCCTACAAAATAATACAATATAAAGTAGATTTTGAAAAAAAAACAAAACCGCTAAGAGTTTTCTAGTTTGAATAAATATTATCCCATCAACTTAGTCAACGTCTAACAAGATGAAAGAAAAAATCATTCTTAAAAAATTATTTTCGATTAAACAAATAATAATTGACTCAGTATATATATTTTTTAAAAATGTTAAAGAAAAACTTACCCACACAAATTGGATAACCGTTATTATAGCCTAAAACCACAGGATCTGCTGTGTCTTCACAACCCATCAATTCAAATTTTAAACAAGGATTTTTATTGTAGGATACAATTGCAAGTATAACTTGGCGAGCTCGTACACTTAGAGGTAAATCAATACGAGTTAACTCTCCATAGTTTCCAGGTTCTCGAGCAGACAAATTAAAATTCTGAAAAAAATTAGATATGTGTACAAAGAAATTAGCATAAATACAAATTAAAACCGAGAATTTAAAAGAATTCAAGTATTAGTTGTGATAAAAAGTTTTAATAGGATGTTTAATTATTAAAAATAATTCTAATTATTACTGATAATTATAATTAAAAAAATTTTTTTTCTTCTAAAAGTAACAAATTAATTTCAAAATTAAATAATTTATGATCTTAGGTATTATTTATAACTTAACCTTGATTTAAAATTAATATTGTTTTGTCAAAAAGTAAGTACAGAACCTCTTATTCGGAAATCTGAATACCAGAAAACCGGAACGAAATTCGATACCTTTTCCCACCATTTAAAAAAAAATTTTTTTTCCTCAAAAGATTTCAGAATTCTTTCTTTTTTAAAAGATGTTTACCATCATTTTGGAAATAATCATTAGTTCTTACACTGTCAAAAGAAGCAAGAGATTTTTAAAATTATTCTTAATATAAATATATTTTTTAGTTGAGTATGACAATAAAAAAAAACAGCTTTTTGTATGATTCAGAAAACCGGAAAAATCAGTTATCCGGAATAGCGATGGTCCCGATCGTTCCAGATAATCGGTTCTCTACTGTAGTAGTATTAAAGCGAGTTTAGATCATCAAAACTAGATCATTGTAACTAGGAGTTTAGAACTTTACACTTAGATAAATAACTATTTTTTTACAGGAAAAAAACCTATAAATATGTAATGCAAAACAATTAATCTTAAGAAATTGAAAGTAGATGAGTTTTGAAAATTAGTTATTTTTTGTTCTAATTTCATATATGATTGTAGAAAAATTAAAGAATAAGTATAATTTTTTAACAAAAATATGTGTCATGAAGTTGAAACTCGAACATACCAAAGAAGCTCAAACTTCTTTATAAGATGGAATGATATTGAAAAAGGAACAACTAACAAATTTGAACACATATTACATTATCTTATTTATTTATTTTTCACGCAGGATTAGTAATTTTTTTAAAGTTTATTAGTTTTTATTTAATTTTATTAGTCTGAATTATTATTAGATAGTCAATTTTTAATGATTTAAGTCATAATATTTATGTTGTGCTTGCTTAGTTTTATTTAACTACCTTATAACTAAAGTCTGAACACTTAAAAAAGCAATTGATATCATTTAATAAGGCATTGTCAACACACCAAGATTATTTTTACTTCCTGACAATTTGTTAAAATATTTAAATTAAAATAAAAAATTGAGACTTGTATAAAAATATATGTAAGCAATAAATAAATGAAATGACAAATTCAGTGGAAGCTATTGTTCATCAAAATTTCATGCTTATCAAGATTCCAACAAATTCATTAGTTGATTTAAAAGTAGATATTAATAACACAAGAGATAGATTTGCACTAAAAATTAATGATACAGATTATATAATTTAGATAAGCTGATTAAATGGAGCTATCAAATAATTTTGACAACAAAAAAAATCATTGATCTGTTAAGGTTTGTTAGACTTTTTATATGAAAAAGGCAAACTCTTTAGAATAATATACGCATATTTGTGACAATTTTAAAGAGATGAAACTTACAGGAAAGTAAACAACGAAGTTCTCAGTTGTCCCAACTCTGTAAAAGAATCTAAGCTCGGTAGGTCGGCCACTGACGTCATTAGTGACCACTCCTTTGACGTATAAAGATTTGATTCTGTAAACCCTTCCCAAATCAACAGTAACATATGTAAATGTTTCTTCCTTAGCACACCACCCAGTGGCACTATTCAGACGAATGTTCTAAAAAAAGTTAATACATATACATTAAAACAAGAACTTAAAAAATTATTTAATTACTAAACATTAAATGTATAGCAAACAAAAACATAAATCATTTCAATATTTTTAGATTAAATTTCCTTAGGTGAAAATTTTTACAGTATTTTTCTTCTTCTCATACCTTGTTAAGTTACATTGTTTAATTTATAAGAATTAATGTAAGTCGTCCAGTTTTTGGGATTTGTTAAATACAACTCAGATTTTTCACAAACACTGAAAATAGCTTCTGTAACAGATTTAACAAACAATTCATTTATAACCAGACAATAATTCATGTCTTGTCAGTCAGAAAGCATTCAGACTAAGTGATTGCTTATATCGTTAAATAGCATACAATGTCAAACAAACTCCAAATACTATTGAATCAGTACAAAGAATGATAATATGGCAATTACATGCATACAATTGATTCATAATTATCCTAAATATAGTTATATGTATACCTTTGCTTCATAATTAACTCTCTGAGAAGTTGCATTAATAGCAGCATCAGGGATTTCACCAGATGTCAAACCTAATGGTCTGATTACTTGGCATTCAGCATCTAAAAATGATTTAAAAAAATACAGTTCAGTTAATTTCAAAAATATAAAACTAGTTTTTTTAGTATTTTTAGAATTATAAACCTAATTAATAAAGTAATTTAGAAAAATAAACTTAATCAATGTTAAAAATAAGTATACTATATATATATATNTTGCTTTAGAGATATATATCCTTTCATATTTAAACATTAAAAAAATATAACTTTAGGAGATGGTGCAGAAATCACTCTTTAGTTCAGCAAATAATCAAGAATATAGAAAAAGTATTAAAAGTAGTTTCAAAATTATAAATATGGCAATTCAAATTTTTCCCTACATTACAATTCATAAATATCATAAATAATTTAAAAAATATTTAAAAAATCCACTTACTTTTTACGCAAGTTATTGGATCAGTTGTATAAGGAATAAATCCTGGTCTTTCACAGCTAAACATTACTTCAGAGTTATGTTCATAACTACTTGCCATTTGCATACCATCTGCAGGCCTTCCAGGATCTTCACAAACAGGACCTACAAGACCAGGACTAAGCATTAACCAATTGTTGGGCTTTAAGATAATAATTTCTACTGTTTGAGAATATTCTATTCTATGACACTATTTTATTTTATGTTATACAATATACATATGTTTTGATTGTAGAGTGTCAAAATATGTTTGTCATTTGACTTACACTGATCAAATATGTTTATTTATTAAATTTTTCATTTTACTTTACATTGATCAAATATGGTTGTATTTTAAACTATCAGAGACAGAATATGTTTTCCTTTTGATTTTACACTGACAAAATATGATAGTCCTTTGATTGACAGTGATCAAATATGGTTGTTTTTTGATTTACAATAAACAAATATGTTTGCCTGCTGATTTTACAGTCCAAAATAACTATTTTTTTTCTTCTATCATACAGCGACAAAATATTTATTTATCTTGATTATACAGCGACAAAATATATTTGACTTTTGGTTAATAGAGAAAAAATTTACCTAATTTTTAAAACATGTGCCAAAGTAGATAATTTTACACATTAATTTAATATACCTTCACATCTGAGGTCTCCAAAATCCCATGTACCATCTTCCATACACCTAACTACATTATCATTAAAATTAGATTTTCCGGCAACGTTAAATGTCTCTTCACAGCCAAAGTAAAAGCTTGACTGATATTGTGTGTCAAGAAGTTGGCCATATGCTGATCCAGTGCTTTCTGGAGGTACACCACAGTCAATTCCTAATTAAATAAAAGGAAATGCATTGTATTTCAAAGTAATTTTTTGAAAATTCATTTGTGTATGCATTTAAATGATATGCATCATTTATTATAATTGTTACTAATATACACCACTTAAAATCTATTCATCTATACTAAAACAAATTGAACAAAACCTATAAATGCTTTTAAAATTGAGAAACATGTAAGCCCATTTGATATTATTTCCAAGGATATAAAAGATTTCTAAACATGAGAAATTGTACATAGTATATGGGAAAAAAGAGAACAACTAAGATTACCTAATAGCCTATTAAACCATGCTATACCAGATGTAAAATTCATAGCCATATCAAGGAATAAAAAAATAGTTGAAAAAAAAATCTTCATTAAAACTTTAAAGGAATTTAAAAAATTTTTGCAAGGTATATTTAAATTTATTGTATTTTAGATTCATTAATTCTAACTAAGTAATCAATTACAGCTATTTTAAAAATAATTTTCTCAGCAGATTTTCTAATGATAACTGTAAAGATACTTTTTATCGACAAAATAAGAACTTATTAGAAAATTATCATTATTTTATGGAAGGTTTCTTTTCTAATTTAAGAATATTCTAATGTAAAATATTCCTTTTTTTGGAAATATTTCTTACATTAAAAATATTTTTTTTATAATAGATTAAGAATTTTAAACATACTTTCGAAGTTTGGAAAACTCTATTGTTATTCTATTGTTATTGAAAACTCTATTGTTATCTGAAGTCTAACGGGGGGGGGGGGTAAGAAAAAACGTGAAATAATGCCTAAGCTGCCTACAATTAGAAATAAAAAAAATTTTCCAGCTATATTTTTTTCAGAAATTGTATTTTTGAAATTCCTTTACACTGTTTAACTTTCTGAGAACCAGAGTCCAATATATTGTATAACAGTATAATTTAAATTACTAAAGAAATATTTTTTGATTTTTTTTCCTGTTTACATGCGTTTAGAAAACAATTATTGATGTAAAAATATAATTAGATTCACCGGAGTTGGCAGGCATTTTTAATAACAATGAATAGAAGAAAAAAAAGAAAGGTAAGAAAAGTAACTCTTCAGACAGTTTTATGGCACTTAAATATCTATTAAAGTCGAATTGATTTTGTTTTATAACCAAAATGTGAAGAAATACACAATAAAAATATGCTACAATGTGTAAAAAATGTCGGAAATAAAATATACATAACACAGATACAATAATTAAAAATAATCAAGTTCAATTAAAGTTCTTAAAAAAAAATTTTTTTGTGACATTTATAAGTTGACTTTCTACAAAACTACATACCTAATAAAAAAATCACATTTTTTACCATTATTTAAAGCTAGGATCCCATGAGAATATAACATTGGAACGCATTAAGGTAACATTGAAACTCAACACTAAATCAATATTTGAAAATCTTCAGTTACTTTTTCAACTAAATTTATCTTAACATGATAGCAAAATTGCAAATTATATTAACATTTAAACTAATTTGCAAATACAAATGAATCATACAGGTAATGATTAAACAATGAATATAGTTTATAACAGAATATATTTACTGGGGCACTGTGGTGCTTCTCCTGACAGCCAATAACTAGATTTGCCAGCTTGAGGATCAAAAACACACTGTCTAAAATTAGATGTAGCAGTAGATCGCATGGGCCTTCCTGTCTCCTCACAACTGATAGTGATATTTTCTAAGTATGGAATACTTTCAACATCTTCAGAATAAAAGATTTCAAGTCCTTGTTTCGAATCTGAACTAATTATGGGGCAATGTGCATCTAAAAAAAAAAGTTGAACCATAGAAGATACATGAAATTGACATTGCAAAATATCAAACAAGTTGATATTGTAAAATGAAGCTTGAAAATTTAAATGACGTAAAAATATATCTTACATTTACAAGTTGGTGTGGTTCCATTCCATTCCCCGTTGCTATTACATAACAGTACAGAGCTTCCCATCAAAACATAACCAAAATCACACTGAAAGCTAACCATGTCACCAAAATGGAATTTTAATTTAGTTGATAGCAGTCTTCCATTTTCAATGTCTTCAAATGATGCACACTGCTTAGCTGAAATTGAGTTTAAAAAGGTTTTTTTCAGTGTTATTATTTTTAAGTCATTGCTTTAATATAATATTGCTTTAGAGATAAAAAGAAAATTGAGAGTAAAATTTCTTTAATTCAGTGTATTATCTTAAAAGAATATGGTATACTTTAAGCTATGTAGGCTAAGAAAAAAAATAGAATGAGAAAAAAGCCCAAGTTATCTGTACTTTCATTTGTGTTTCATTCACATTGTCTTTTTGCTTTAGCGCGATTATTTTAAATCTTTGCTTTGATGAAATACTGTTTTAGGGATATGTTATAGATATTATAGATAAGTAATAAAAAAGTAAATGAAAATAGAGGTTCGAAAAGAGTTTTAATATAATAAAGTCTAACTGTTAAGACATTGCCTTGATAAAATATTGTTTTACTGTAGAGATTTTCCTTATCATAGCTTGTTAATGTGCAGTAATAATTTTCAGACAAAAAATTATATGAATAGATTAATTCGCAAATACTTAAGTCACAACACTTAGTTCCCATTAGTTTTATAGTCAAGAAAATAATTTGAGAGTAATGAACAAATAAAAGTTTGAATAATTTTTTGGAGAATAAAATTGAAAAGACATTTTAAATTAGAATTTGCTTTTAAATAGTATTTAATTCTGATATATGAAATGAAACTATATTGAACATATACAGACAAGACATATATTTAAAAGAATTTAGATGTTTATCACAATCTATACTTTGAGACTATAGATTAGGAATTAATAGTGCAAAACTATATGGGAGTATAGTTTTGTACTATTAATTCCAAGTACAAAACTATACAGGAGTGAAATATTCTGGCAAATTTGCCAACTTGCAAAAGCAACAGAGGGTTAAAATTAATTTTTAATAAAAGATATTTGAAGAAAAAAGGCTCTTTTATAAGGTTTCAATTATTCATTTATTTTGAATAGATATACTAATTGATAAGATATTTTTTAAAAAATTGTTTTGACTTAGTAATTATCTTAAAAAGAAATTTACAACTTGTATAAGCACTATTACAATTTATATAAATATATGTATAATACTGATATTATGAATTGACAATTTATATGATTACTGATTTCAACCAAGCTAATAATGTATTCATTTTTTGAATGGTTATACTTATTGATATTTTTTTGCATTGCTTTGGTTTAGTAATTATATTAAAAAAATACAATTTAGATAAACGTTATAAAAATTTACATAAATAATGTTAATTATAATACTGATATTAGGAATTAACAATTTATTCAATTACTGGTTCTAATCAAGCTACAGGAAGCAATTAAAGAAATATCAACTTACGAACACAAGTCTTGTTAATTGTGTATGTGTCTCCAACTTTAGTTCCAGTTTCACTTTCAGGAATGCTAAAGCCACTGGTTCCATTTTTCTGATAAAGCTCATAGCCAACATTGCAGAGGCAGTTATAACTTCCTGGATTATTAATGCATCTCTGATCACAGCCACCATTTTTGTCAAGACATTCATTTACATCTAAATGAAGGGACAATAATGCAAATTATAATAGTCATTTAAACAACAACAATAAAACGATCAATTAAATGACAACAATTAAGTGATATTTAATGAGATTAAACATTTATATGGAGAATAGTAACTTAAAGTTAGTTTTAAATTTATAGACAAATTGTAAAGGTTGACTTTAGCATTGCTTTATTCATCAATCAATATTTCTATTAACATCCAAACTACAATAATTTAGAATAAGTAAATTAAAAATAAAACATTATAAAAACCAATAACAGTATGGAGGATGTGTTTGTTAGCGTAAATATTATCTGGGTTTGGACCAGAGACCTTTTGGTTTACGACAGGAGGCTTTTTAACCAGCATCTCTAACTAGGGTGAGTAAGAAAGCACACGATACAAAATAAGGAATACAGTAACTGTCGCACACCCCCTTTTCGAGAACGAGAACAACTAGATATCTATCATCATGGTCAGAGGGATGTATACTTTCTTATGGTGGTTAAAACACTCAGTTAGAGGGCCTAAGGTCCCTGGTTCAATCCCTTTCAGGACGAACCAACATCTCTTCCATATTTCTCCCCAAAAAAGAACTAAATTATTCAAATTCTCATTCAAATTTAAATAAATTGCAAGGAACATAGATTATAGTATAAAATTCTATAATAATAAAAAAAGGAAAAAAAGAAGAGAGATGTACAATTGAAATCTTAAAGTTTTTTCATATAATTTTGAAAACTTAAAACCTTAAATTTTTTAACATAATTTAGATTGAATTCATAGGACTGATTAGAAAAAAGAAAAATTTAAAAAACACTCAATTTTTAAGGATTTAGAACATGCTATGGTCAATTGTAAATATAAAACCTTAGTAATTTAATCTAAGAGTTAGAATGCAGTTTTCAATTTTAAAAAGAAGGATCTTACTAATTTTCACTAACATTTTAGAGTTAATTGATTTTTCATGAAATCAAAAGCATCAAAAGAAAAAAAAACATTTTAGGGAAATAAAAAGTCAGAATAGTCACATCTTAACTTAAAAAGTCATGTGATTCTCTATAACCTGCTGATTTAGTATTAAAAGATCTTGAAATGTTTAAAAATCAATATAAATGAAACAACTCGATAAATATAATTCATCAAAAAGAAACAATTCTATATTGGGATCATTAGTCTGAAAGTAGTAAGGAAAAAGTAATTTGTATTTTTTGAATGTTCTAATTTAATATTTTTATTACCATGGCAGTCTTGTCTAGTACATCCCATAAGCTCAACTCTGATGCATGGAGCTCCAACATAATCCATGATAAGAATCCTTACATAGCGGGCTTCTATGGGCATTGGAAGGCTGACAATAGATAACCCTGATCCACCATTATGAGTTAAACGGAAATCAATGGGCTGTTGAAAAAAGCAATTTTAAAGAAACGGAAATGCATACTATATAGAATAAATTCATAAAACTATTAGCAAAGGATTTTGAGTTGCAAGAGAACTTGGAATTAATACAACTTAGTTAGTTCCATAAATTTACTTACAGCGATTAAGTTTTAAGTCAAGTTTTAGACAATTGCAACAATTGAAAACCATTAAAATACATAACATTAAAAGTATTATAATTGTAAAATTTTAAGGCGGGTTTAGTTCTGGTGCAATATTATAGTTGCTGGAGTGGATCCATGGTTGGGGACTCACCGGGGGTGGCCTGGTGTGTAGCCGATGTATAAGTTTGTTTTCTTGGCCACTGTATTTTTCTAATACATGCCCCCTCTCGGAGCATAGGTGAAGAGCTATGTGCTGACGTCCATGTCCATGTAAGACTTTATGGTACTTTAATTAAAGCACCATCACAGTGGTCACAATTTAGTGGTGTTGTAACTCAAAAATTTTCTTTCAGGAGAAAAATTAGGATAACTAACTTTTTGGCAGTCACATTTCAATCTGTAATCTTTCCAGCCTTGCAAAACCAGTTTTCTAATTCTAATAGGTAAGGAAACATTATTTTTAGACCGGGGAGTTTTCTCAATGACTTACAGATTTGCAAAAGCACCAGAGGAATAAATATTATTTTTATTCTAGATGACAATTTAATTTCAGTTCTCATTAAATCACTTGCAATAAAAAAATATTAGTAAGAAGTTTTCAAAAAAATTATTTTAGAGAAACTTAAATAAAATAAACTTTTAAAAACTGAAACTTTGAGGAAAATAAATATACTTAATTACTTAAAATAGACCAGATATACAAATACAAAGCAAAAAACTCACCTGGCCAAAAGGATCTCCATATGTGCGGAATAAATCTGTAAGATCATCGCTATACTGAATTCGGACAGCCATGGGTATTGCTTGAGAACCATCTGGCCGAGGAACAGATTGCGTTCTGAACCCACGAAGCACTACAGGAGCACGAAGATCAAACTGAATCCAATTTTCTCCAGGTCTCTGAATATTGCCACACCAACCAAGAGGATTATCCAGCCGAACACCCTAAAAAAACAATAATTTTTCAGTAAAACTAAAAAAGAATATCATTTAATTAAAAAAGACAAGTTTTTAACTCATTATTAGTTACAATAAAACATAAAGAAAAAAAAACAATCATACATTTTTGCTGTAGCCGATTTCAGTACCAGATGCTTTAATGCGACTGTCTGGGATATTTCCATTAGCAACACCTAAATCACCAACTGGTCGGCATTCTACAAATAAAGTATAAAGGTTAAATTCAACACTTTATTAAAACATGTGAATGAAAAGCATGACAACTTTTATAGGTAACCATCCATAATAGGGAATTTACTTTGAAAGCTTCAAATCAAATAAAAATTTAACTTTTATTAATTTTGGGATGCTGGGCTAACACACATATGTTAATTAAATAGTTCTCAGTAATCAATAGGCTAAAAACAGATTTAAAAATTAAGATAAAAAAACTTGTGGGATATCATTTATTTTAAGTACTGAAATTATAAAAACATTTACTGAATACAAATTATTATACCAGTAACATAAATATAAAAAACAGTTTCAATAAATTGTAGAAGAATGTTTATGATAGATCAAATATCAGAATGTGCAAAATATCAAAAACTGTTAACAAAACATTTCTAATTTAAAGATTAGTTAGGACAAATTAATATTCTGTATTTATAGATGATTTAACATATAAGAGCCATTCCATGCCACTGTTACCAATTTTTGATGTTTCAATTTTTATAAAAACATCTAATATATACTAAATGATCATCAGATTTCCACATGAATTTTAAGAACAAAATTAATTTGATTATTGAATTAATTTGAGATTGAGAATTGAATTTTTATATTCAAGCAAAGAAGGAATTTCCATCACAATAATTACAATAAATTAAACACAATAATTAAAACAATTCTACCCAAATACTTGATGATAAAATAAAAACAAACCCATGTTTGGTTCAAAGCCTTTTCTACATTTGCAGTAAAATCCTCCATCTGTATTATTACACTTAGTAGAAGCAGCATCGCATGAAGAAGATAAGCATTCATCAATATCTAAAGCAAAGAACAAAAGCTCTTAGGAACAAATTTATGCAAACTCAAGAGTAGATATACTAGACAAAGGAATTCACCAATTTATTTTTTTATTGGATCTAAAGTACATAAAAAATATAATAGAAAAGCGAACAAATGTGGCGGCACAAAATTAAATTTTATTTGGCTATGTTCATCACAAAATTTTCAATTGCATAATTTTGTTTGAAAATAATTACTATATTGTAAAGTAAAAATAATGGTTTACTTATAGATTTCTTAAGAACCTTTTTTAATGTGTATTATAATTAAACATGTTCTCAAGTACAAAATTTAAGTATTTTAAAATTTTTTATTAATTTTAATTTTATTAAGAAACTGAAATGTGCTGTGAACTAGGTAATTAATTCGCCGGCCAGGTGGCCGAGTGGTTAGCGTGTCTGACTGCGGAGCCAATGGCCGCGGGTTCGAATCCCGCTTTGGGCATGGATGTTTCTCTCTGTGTGTTGTCTTCTGTTGTGTGAATGTGGCCCACCCTATGAACGGGTTTGTGGCAGTGTGGCATGGGTAACGTTGCTCGCCTCCGTGACTTTGGTTCACAGGTGCCCACTGGGTAACGCTAAATGAGTAACAATTCCGGCATCTTCTATGGCGAAGAACGAAAAGTTCAGTGCCTGCNGAGTGAACCTCCAACTCAAAAAAAAAAAAAAAAAAAATTAAAAAAGGTAATTAATTCTGTATATTGAAATCTGTGCAATTTAAAAAGTTCTTAATGCTTAACTAGAGAGTGAGTATAGGATATCTAAGAATGAGCTACAGAAAATATGAAATATCTTCTTCATCACTCTAATATTGAAAATTCATAATAAAACGATTGTTAATAAAAGTTTAAATAAACATAAAGTATAGGGATTATCATATCAAACGGCTTTAAGTTTACTTTAGAACATTAACTGATAAAATTAAAAGACAGCAACTAAAATGCAAAAATACAAACATTTATAAGTATATAACATTTGCGAAATTAGTTTATTTTCTATAGTAAATCTAATTCGATGCTAAAAACAAAATTAAATAAATATCATGATAGAAAAAAGCTAAAAATAATAAGATTTTCTAGAACAGAAATGGAAAAAGACACAAGATTGTAATTTCAACCCTCCGATATTCTATTATATTGAATCTTGTTTACCGACAGTTTTTGTAATTTTAATTTATGCTATAGATGATGAATTTCTAAATAGTTCATTATTTCACTTTGAAATTAAAAAAAACTAATGTTTTTATGACATACAAAACTATTAATAATGTTCAGCTGTGAACACATGTACCCATGACACTAATTACAAAATTAGAGTAGTTAATTTTTTAAAGTTAAATTTTTATCAATTGTTATACTTTCTTTACCTCCATCTTTTGATTAACTCTAGTGGAACACATATTTTAAAATACTTCAGAATTAAACTAACTTTATTTGTAAATATAGTTGCTTACCTCTGCAAACAGACATGTTTAAGAAATTCTGGTCAGCTCCACATTTGATTGTAGGACTTCCTTCTAATTTATAGCCTTTAAAGCATTGCACTCTCCCTTCATCTCCAAAGAAGTATTCCTTATCTTTATCCACAACAAAACCATTGTCAATTTCTGGCAAAATTGGGCATCTGACACCTACAAAAAAGATCATATTTGATCACTTATTTTGTTGAACTAAGTATTTCATAATAAAAGAAAGGTTTATATCAGGGCTCGAAAAACCGCCAGTCCGAACGTCCTCAGCGGTAAAAAATTTCCCGAGGCCAACGAATTTCTCGAATACGACGTCCGCATGGACGACCATTTTCCCGTTAATGTTCGTAATACATTTTCAATTTTTGTCACCTGTCTTCTTCTTCTTCTTCCTAATCCCAAAATTAGCAGGGCTAAACAATGTCCATGAAATTCATGGCTCGGAGGAAGTCGGCCACCAAAACTGGGTTTTCTAGAATGTCCCTCTTGTCCAGTCCAAGACAGTCCAGGATATGTTGGGGAGAAGCCTGCATGTTGTGGCACCAGGGGCAGTTTGGGAAGATTTTATAACTACCCTCGAAAGAAAGAGACTTAAGGTGGCTGCTGGTAAGCGCCGTCTGATCTTTGCGGTTGCACCGAATGTTGAGTGCACCTCCTGGACGGGTACTCTAGTACCAGTGATGTTTTTTTACCAGTTATCTTACAAGAGTCCAGCGGCTCACTTCTAAAATGACCCTCAATAAATAAGAGAAATTTATATTTTTATTTATTTAGAAGCTACGGGTTAGTTTCAAAGGAGGACGGGTACATTGTTGGACAAGCCGTCCTCGGAGACTGGTAAAATTTCTGAGTTTTTTCGAGCCCTGGTTTATATATATAATCAACTGGAATGCAAAAGAAACAATATTATTCAACAGAAAATAATTAAAAATCTTATGCATAAAATTATTCAGTTCATTTTTCAGTTGTTTATTGAAATCAAAAAAAAAAAATATCTATCAATTGGATCATAAATAATCAATTATAAGGAAATCAATTCAATTATAAGGAGTAATCAATTATAAGGAATAAAGGAAAACTAAATTATGTATTTAATATTAAAAGAAAAAGAGAAAGATATAAACAGTAATATGTAAACAAAATCTTAACAAGAACTAAATAATAAGTTTTATGTAAAATTCACAATAAACCTAAGCCTAAATTTTTTTAATTAATTAAAACAATGTTTAGAAAAGCATATGTTAATAACATAATTTAATTTATAAAAACTTTTTTAGATGAGAAATTGGAGGGGTCTTTTAATTCAATTCTAAAACAAAGATGCTTCTTTAAAAAAAATGCATAATGTGCTCTAAATATTTACATAAATATAAAATTATGTGTGAGGCAAACTTTAATATTAGGAATGTAACAGTAAAACATATTAATAGAGAATATTTATCATGATCTTTAATAATATAACTATCTTTCTAACCACATTAAAAAAGTTCAATGTTATTTAATTAATTTTTTAATGAATAAAAACTCACGTTTGCAAACTGGGGGCTCATAAGACCACTGTCCATCACTAGTACATACAAGTACAGGTGCTCCAGTCCTAAAATAACCAGATTCACATTCAAATCGAATGACAGTCCCATATCTACTTCCTTCACCATTTAAAATAGTTCTAATAGCATTTGGTGTCTCTGGCAATGCAGGGCAAGATGATGCTAGACAAATGGGCAGTTTTTCCCATTTACCATTTTCTTGACACCTAATAGTTTCAGTTGGGCGACCACCCAAAAACCCAAAGCCAGCATAACAGTGATAAGTTGCCTGACCTCTATATGTAACATTCGTGGAAGCAATAGCAAATCCATTATCAATTTGAGGAACAGGGCCACAATATTTCTCTAAAAAATAAAAACATTAATTGTTAGATAAAGTGAGGAAATTTAAAATTTTGGGATGAGAAAAAATTGATATAAATTACAAACCTTGACATGCAGGTATGCGACTAACGTTCCATTCTCCCCCTTGCATACATTCAGCCAGTATTCTGTCCCCACCAGCACTAAATTCCTGGCCAATAGGACACAGATACATGACTCTTGCTCCAAAAGTGGTTTCTCTGCTTGATGCGATAGCTCTTTCTCCAACAGATAACTGAGGACAATCTGTTATAGCAAAGTTTCAAAATGAAATGAAATGAAAAAATAAATAAATCAGATAAATTTTTATTAACATTTTAGTTTAAGCTTTTGTTAAATTGAACGATAGTAATTGGAATGCCTTATATTGCAAGCTTTACAATTTTCACTTCATTTAATATAAACTTTAATTTGAATACTTTGTACAACAAATTTGATCTAAACGAACTATCCTTGCATTTACATTCTGCTTTACATGCTTCAAAAAAACTGCTCTTTTTTAAAAATATTTAATTTGGTAAGATACATGGCTCTATTGTCTATAATTTGAAGACACCGGAACATGAAAAACTAAATTTCTGAACACTCTACCATAACGACACAGGTTGAAAACTTTTGGGCAACCAGTTGTAAATAAAATTGCAACTGGTGCCCAATGTTTCCCTGTGGCAGAATTTTTTCGGGCTTTCTGTGACATACCTCTAATAATAATATCTTTCTGCAAAATACTTTTAAAAATAACAAATATACATGTTACTAAATTAAGGTAACAGAAGCGTTAAAAATTCAAAAAAAAAAAATAATAATAATAATAATAATTTTTCATTGAAATAAAAAATTTTTTAAATTAAATATGTAATTTTTTTTATTCTAATATTATGGGTGATGTTCTCGCATTTAGTAGGGGGAAAACACACTAATTATTTCCTCTTTCGTATTTTGTAAATCATTATCACATTAAAAAATCTTGAAATCTGTAGCAGTAACTACCGGAGAGAAAAAGATTGACGACAAAACCATGCGAATCGGATGATGAAAAGGACTACTAAATGTGTGTTTTCATTTCGAGGTTCAGTTGTTGCAATAAATAATATCGTAATAAAAATATCAGATTTTAAAAACTATGTGGAAATCAATAGTAATAATGACTGCATTAAAAATTTTAGAGCGAAAATTTCTGCAGAAAAGAAAACCAAATTTTTTTACTTCATTATTCTTTATTTTTCATTATTATCAAAGCAGAATTGAAAAATCACAAGCATTTTTTCACTCCGATGAGCGAGAAAGACATCTTTTGAATATAATGCTGAAGAAAAGATAAAATTAATTCGAAAGTTTCTGCAGAAAATTTTTATTTTTTTGTACTTTCCAAAAGATAAATCTTTCTGCAAGAACTCGATAACGTTCTGCGACAATGTCGCCACGATTCTGCCACGGGGCATGTTTTAAAATATTTTATGATTGTTTAGTATATTTTATAATCCACTTTGACAAAACAAACATTAAATTAAATAAATACCTGCACTGAAGCTTCCCATCCACCCAGTTGAAGTATGCATTGGGTTTGTTTTGAAATTAACAAAAATATTTCCACTGCTTGCAGTTAAAGTAATAGAGGGTCTAGAATTTCCACTAAATCCATCTCCAGGATGCAGTTTCACACCTGTAGAGCCTTCTCCATCATACACCTACATGCAAAAATGTAAATGTATAATTAACAAAATAAAGTTAGGCTATTCAGATTAAACTAAAGCCTGAAAATGCAACAGGATCTTTATTTTATAACCAGCTTCATATAATAGTATAAAGCTAACCAGTCTTACTTACTTTTAAATTACAAACACCTTAGTTGCCCGGTAACAAGAAGAGATGTGTATAGAGCCGATTTGATAAAATAAATCTTTTGAGTAAAGTAATTTTAATATTTAATTTAAAATTCCCACATTGAATTTGCAATTTCTAAAACAAATGTCATATTTTTGATATTTAATAAGTTTAGAAAAAAACTTTTAAGGAATTTAATATAATTTTATTATAAATAAAATATTGAATTAGGTAAACCTTAGGTAAGGCATAAATAAAATATTGAATTAGGTAATAGCTTTTTATAAAAAAAAGTGAAAAAAAAATCCAAAGCAATTTTATATTATAAAATTTAGAATCATAAATAAAGTTTCAGAACACAAAACTTGAAAGCATAAATTAAATTTTAATAATAACAAGAAATATTAAAATTTTTCAAGTAAATGAATATTTTGCAGAAAATAGATAAAAGTTTGTAAGCCATAAGTATTATCTATCATTTGAGGAAAGTCTTCCCATATACAAGGGGTTTACAAAATAATGGAATACATTTTTTCATATTATTCCAGAAATATCTAAAGAAATATTTCATAACTTCAAAAGTGTTTAGATTTCTCAAACAAATCAATGAAGTTGAAAGGTTTTAGAAGATTGAGGACCCGACATAAATTACAAATGGAAAATAATATTTTTCAACACCCTATGCCAAAAAATATAGCAATAGATTGTAACTTATGACAGTTATTTGGCTATTATATAACTTGGTTATTCTAAACAATAATTTTACAAAATTTCGTAAGTGTAGCTTAAATATTTATGGAAATATGGACATTTTTTTAAAAAAAACTCATTTTTTTGACGTACGTTTTTCTGCTATAACTGTAAAAATATTCAATAAAATGATACAAAATTTTTAGAGCAATTTAAAATTTATCTCAATTCACGAAAGGCATGAGTAATTGAACAAGTTCTTTTATACAGTATATGCACCGAAATTTTTTTTAAAAAATTCTTAATTTTGTAGTTAATTGTATTTGGCAATTAATGGAAAAAGTCTCCTTTGAATATCTTAAAATTTAAAAACTTTCAAGCAATTTTCAAAGTAGTTTTCATACTTTTTAAAAAGAAAATTCAAAATGATAAGTTTTTTTTTTTACAAATATCGTTTTATATCATAGGACAGAATTCAATAACAAATGATAGTACTTTACAATAAACATTCATACACCAAAATCAGGGGTCTGTTTAGAAGAAATTTGGGTCCGTTAATGGACCCTTCACAAAATATCTTAAAAACAGATCCTTCACAAAATAATTGATCTTTTAATCAGACCCTTTACAAATTTTTTATCTTCATTATCGTTTAGTTAATCTAATAAACCCTCCAACCGGGGGGGGGGGGGGGATGACAGTTCGAGACAAACTAAGTTTCCCTAAGTTTAAATTCCAAATGTAGTATTCTAAGAAAATATTTCCAGTTTTACAAACATCGTGTGCGCATTCTTATTAATATTAAATTATAATTTTTTTTGTAAATAAATAATTGATCAATCTATATTTATTCAAAAAATTAAATAATTGAATATTATGTAAATAAAAATGAATTTCTGGAAATTTTTTAAATAAAATATTATAAATATAAGAATTGTTTAAATTTACTTAATGCGTAACAAATTAAAAGTGATACATTACTAAGTTGTGTTATTTAAAATATGTCAATTGAAATTACTAAAAATGTAAGTGATTTTGTTTCTACTATTCCTCTGAAATGAATTCTCTGTGTTGAACAGTATAGGCTAAATACCAAATATTTGTATGTTGCATCTCTAATTTAGTAGCAGCAATTATTGAGCAGAATCTTGTATCTATTTACAATTTAAAAACTTCTTAAAAAGGTTTTTAGCAATTTTTGCAATAACAGGACCCTATTTGCACAAATTCACAAAAGCTGGACCCTGGTTGAAAGAATGTGACTTAATGCTTATTTTATATTCACAAATTATGAATATTTTTTTTCACTATTTTACAAAAATAGGAACTTTCACAAAATGTCTGGACAAACCCCTGAAAATGTTATCTAATAAGGAAAGAAAACAGGCGAAAACAAGGTGATACTTTTATGGGGATGGTCTACAACTATGATGGGTTCATTTTTAGTAAATCTTGTTTAATAGTAAAAATGAAATGAGTGCAAAACCCCTTATCATTTTGAGCATTCTTTTAAAAAATACAAAAACTTAGAAAATTGCTTGAAACATTTTAAATTTTTAAAGTATTAAGATCGAACTTTTTTTATTAGTTGCCAAATACGATTCGATAAAAAATTAAGATTTTTTGTTTTTAATATTTCCTGCACATGCGCAGTATAAAAGAACTACTTTAATTACTTACATGTAGAGCAGTTTCAAAAATTTTTTTCTTAAATTATAAAGAAAAATTTTCATAATTAATTTTAAAATGCACTAAAAATTCTGTTTAGTTTTATTTTATATCCATCATTGAATAGAAAACCTAATTTTTGGGTTTACGATTACTAATGTTTCAACTCAGTAGCTTTGTCAATTTTGAACCACTCCAGAAGACAAGGAATCTCCCGGATCAGTACCCCCAGAGGTATTGATTTGTTATGAGAACATGGAGGACTTTGCGACTCGACAGATTTAACATGCAGCAGTCACCATTTACTATATGGGGAGTCTTCAGCTGGCGGGGATCGAACCCACAAACTCCTGGACATGGGCCCAGTGCCCTACCAACCAGGCTATCCCGACCTGTTTAGTTTTATTGAATATTTTTAAAAAGCAAAAAATTAGCTATTTTTAAAAATGTTCATATTTCCATAAACATTTAAGCTAGGCTTTCAAAATTTTGAGTAATTATTGCATATAATAACCATAGCCAAAATAACTGACAGAAGTGTTCAAAAATATTATTTTCCGTTTGTAATTTATTATTGGTTCCTAAAAAAACTAAAATCTTTAAACTTCATTGATATGCATGGGAAATAACATGATCTAAACACCCCTGAAGTTATAAAATGATTCTCTAAGTACTTCTGGAGAAATGAAAAAATGTATTAGTATAGAAGTGTTTCCATTATTTTGTCCACCCTATGTATATAATACCAATCAGTCAGTACAATATCTATATATATTGGTGAGACTGTTAAAAATTTCACCTGAATAAAATCATCTTCTGCAACTTCGAATCTATTGAATTTGAGTGACAATGGGCCTCCTCCAGGTCGAGCAATTTTGTAAGTGCATTCCTGATTGGACGGATAATCCACAACACCAAAAGCAGGAGAAGATATATTTCCAGAGTTAGATGTAAGTTCCACATGACAACCTATAAGTGAGGAAAAAATTAGACAAAACTTGATATGAAATATGTCATGAGGCACTTTCTTGTACACTTGAGATAAAAAAAAATATGCTATTCTCCTATTATTCTTTATTTAATTATAAAATGCACGAAATTTTCAACATGTTTGATAAACTGAAAAAAAAAGAAGTTGGAACAATTATAATCTTTGAAGAAAATTCACCCTATAAAAATTATGCCTTAATCGAAAACTTGCATGAACACTATTAGAAAAAACGCTTTTAACGCATCAAATAAGTGAGTGATTAGATGACAATCTATTGCTCAATACATTCTAAGTATTCAAGAAATATTGTTAAAGAATAACAAATGAATATGGGGAGATGAAATTACAAATTTAAAGATGATAAAATAAATAAAGCAATTTAATAATTTCACAATATTTAAAAAAATTACCAAATCTAAGCTTTTTTATTTCACTGGCAAAGGTTTTAGATGACATGCATTATAAAGATAATTTTAAAATATTGTAAATCATTGAAAACAGTAAACACTTAACAAAATTTTTTATTCATTATTTATTTTTCTCGAAAAAAAGAAAGAACTATAGAAACATAATATAAGTAAAAATGAAATAAGCATTCAGCAAGGTTTTAAAACATTTTTTGTATGATTTAATTTTAATCACTAAGTCAAGCAGTCTAGACACATCATTTTAGATACATAATTTATTAAAATAAAATTTCAGAAACATAAGACCTTATAGATAAGTATCCTTTTATAATTATACTTTTTTAATTAACAGGAAAGGGAAGCATAAAAGTATTGTAAGATGTAACAAAACTTACCAGCTCTGAATCTAATAGAAAATCCTTTTCTGCTATCACCATAACTTGTTTGCAAATAAATGTAGATTTTATTTTTTGTGCTGAGAATAAATTTTGGATTATTTTCAGCAGTTCCTGTTAATTTGGCTAATAAAGGATCTGATGGAGAAGTACCATCTCTTATAAATAAGAAGTCTTTTTCTGGCTCAAAATCAAATTCTAATATCTAAAATAAAATAAAAATAGAAAGAAATACAGTCAAAATGATAGAGTAAAATTTTAATAAAAAATTATATTAATTCAACCCAACAGAAAATTATAATAATTAAAAAAAATTAATGTGTGATAATTCCTTATTAAAACAATATAAAATTATTATTTAACAAATGAAAAAGTGCCATGTATAATAAGTAAAAAGCATTTTACCAGCCCAAAATTAAAACTAATGTTTAAAATAAAATTTACAAAGCAAACAATATAGTTAAAGCATATGATAAGTGTAAAATTATGATAATCCAATGCGAAAATAATTAAATTAAGATAGTTCTATAAAAGCCATTAAGTTAACAGTAGAAAAAAAATTGCAAGCATATAAAGATACAATTTAATATTTTATCTAATACAAATAAAAATAGAATCTCACAAATTCTAAATATAAGATAAATTATAATAATTAAAAGCATTTAAAGTTTTAACATAATGATAAAAAATACTTTAAGATATTCAGATGATTATAAACTATAAATACTCATAATATAATTTTAAAAATATGCTGTTTTTCAATATGCAAGTTTCTAAAAAATATACAATTTTCTTAAAAATATAAATTTTGAATTAAATGCCTTATTGGACAATTCCACTTTGATTCATTTGTAGATACAGAGCTTTACTGTCTCTTATTATTATTATATTTTAAAGCGACTTAATTTCCTATCTTCCTTGAATCATGATGCCCTCTAAACTCAGTGGCGCGACAGCCCGTAGGGGGCCAAGGCCTACTGTGCCCATCTCAGTTTTCTTGACCTTGGGCACTGGGGTGCAGAAGCAGATGTTCCTTACCGCTGAATCGACGCGTCATTTATCGACCCACTGAAGGGATGAAAGGTTGAGTCAACCTTGCCCGGCCCGAGGATTGATCCCAGCAATGGCACGGGAGCGCAAAGCGCTACCACTCAGCCACCGGGCGTCCTTGCCATGATGCTCCCTGGCTGCCAAAATTACCTGGTTTTGTACCAGTTTTGAAACATAAAGGAAAACATCATTCTACTTAAAAAAGATGATAGTGTAGATTTTTAATGGTTAATGATGATTTTTATTACTCTTAGAATGAGAAATATTTGTAGAAAGTTTTACTTCAATACTTTTAATAAGTACACTTCCTTAAAGTTTATAAAAACATTTTTCTTTCCTTCATTGATTCAAGAGCAATCCTTAAGTAAAATAAATAAGACAAACAATTATTTTTTTAAAAAAATAGTTAAAGAGCATAAGATTAAATATCAACATCTTTACATAGCATTCTAAAAAATAGTTTTATCTAAAGATTTAGTTATTTTTAACAACAGAAAATTCTCATTAAGTATGTACAATCCTTTATTTTTTCTCTTCATGTTATTAATTGTACAAGAAATTTTTTTCAAAATATTTACGGAAGAAAAACTTTACTTCATGGAAGAAGTCGCAAACAATTTATATGAATTTCAGATTACTTTATACTAAAATTAAATATATTACTATATATTAAACAATTACTATATTCTATATGATTACTAGATACTAAAAAAATAAATATAAAAACACTCATTGTGAAATGTTAATTCCTACCTCAAGAGTAATAACCTTGCTAGAAGGAGCAGATATGATGTACAAGCATTCTAAACCACCAGGATAAGATTGAGGATACAATGGAGAATTAAACAATTGAGCATTTGGAAGAGCTAATAGTTCACCACCACATTTTATTGGTTCTAAAACAATAAAATTAATAATTAGATTATATGAAACAAGGAATAATATGGTACATGGCATGGTAGAATAAGAAAATAAAAATAAATTTAAAATAACTATGTTATATCTGACTTTAATAACAGTTAAAAAAAAAAAAAAAAAACATTATAATATTAAAAGAATTTTTGATGTTTTCTTGTAGATTTAGTACAATAAAAAAAGTTATATTTTTTAATGCTATTTAAAAAAAATTAAATTAAGTAAGTCCATTTCTAAAAAGTTCACTTGAATTTGTGCAACAATATTATAAGCAGCTTTCTCTCATCTAACAATAGAAATATGGAAAGTAGAATTCTTTTTTCTATTTTAAACAACATATACTGAAAAAGTAAAATTGTTCCTCTCTTTCGAAAAAAAAATCCTATGATTTTAATGCAAAAAAGTTCTTCTAATAATCAAAATAAAAAAAACATTTAAAATATAAAAAGTACAAAATTAAAATTATTAACCAACACTATTACTATTCGTTGATATTATTCTTGTTATTCTCCGGTTGAAATCTATAAAATAAACTTTCAACAAATATTTGAGCACATTCAAATTTGGTACAAGTAAAAGCAAGTATTAATCTTTACAAAATATTAAATAAAGAAAAGAAACTAGCTTTACTTAATTCAGTATTGTATAAGGCAAAGGCATGTACATTTTTATGTAGTTTGCAATACTAAATAATTTAAAAACCACAGGAAAAAAAAAACTACTGATCTAATTTCGAGCTAAAACCATTTCTCTTCTCTCACTCCCATAAAAAAAATAGGCCATAATTCGAAAGCATCTATAAATTACTCACAATAAGCTCAGTTCCATTCCGCTTTATTATTGAGGCATAATATTTGTAAGTTCTCTTATATCAAGAGCAATTTGAAAAAAAAATGCCGCCAGTAGATGTTGGGAATTTATAACTGACGTAAATTAGTAACAATATGTGAGATTATATAAGGTAAAGTAAGAAAGAAAACATTTACCAGTTTTCCAACTTGCACGAAAACCTTTCTTTTCAACTGATGCATCAGAGCGGAATTTAACAATCATTAAATTTGAAGCAGTAGTGAAAGTTTTTACAGCTAAATCCTGAACACCAGATAGAGTCACCAAATTCACTCCAGATTCTTCTGTTCTACCTCCAGCTAATATTTGAACAGTGTCAAAATTGGTCTCAGTTTCAAAGTCAGAAAACTGTAACAAATAAAATAAAAAAGATACATATTTGTCTTTTTTTTCCTTCATGGTTCTATTTATTTTATTCAACTCTTGTACAACATTAATATTTAATTATTATTCTAAGGTGTCAAAAACAAACGAGCATAGAAATTCTTGTGTGAACACTAACTTTTAATTAGTATTTATAGATTCACGTAACATATAAATATAAAAGCCACTCAAAATGATTTTAAATTCACATTAAATTGGATAATTAATTTGAAAGAAAAATAATTTTCACTTTAATATACAAGCATTTTTGAATGACATCAATCTTTTAAGTAGTATTTCAAGATTTATAAAACAACTGGAGTTTAAAATATCATCACTACATTTGATAAGTTTTTGATTTAGATTAACATAAAATTAATTAAATATATTATACTAGTATTTAGATGTAGCTTTGAAAGAGATGTTTTTTTAAGCCTAGAAATATATTAATCTTTGCTTAGTATTTTTAGATTTATTTAACAAATGTGTACAAAATTTGGCAGCATCGTTTTCAATAGAATTTTATCTTTTAAGTGAGCTTTACATTCCTAAATTTTGCCTAAAAAATGTCAACAAAAAAAAGAAGCATATTTTAAAATTCTTGCATGTCACTAATTACTAATTAGGAATTAATTGAGTATAAGCAATAAATGAATCCTGTAGCATAAAATAAAAGCCACTGAAATGGATAATACTTAATTCTTTCAAATAGGCATTAAATTAAATACAACTGCATAAAATGCAAGCCACAGTTATGTGTTACACCTAACCCTTTCAAATAGGCTCTAAATTAGATGATACTTATAAGCATACAAAGGTAACATATTCATTATGTGTAAGGAATTAATCGTTTATGCATATTTGATGCAAAGAATGAATTGATACTAAATAAATCACACCAGTTTGGTAAACTGTTGAAATTGGCATTCAACAAAATTTATACATATATGATAACTAAACTGCAAAAAATATATGTTAAATTCTTCAAAAATTAGTTTTTAAACCCTAAGCAGTAATTAAGGAATATTCAAACTCCTGTCTAGTGCCTTAGCTTTAAAAAAAAAAAAAAAAAAAAAAAAAAAAAAAAAAAAAAAAAAAAAAAAAAAAAAAA